TCTAGAAGCTATGACTAAATTGCATCAAAAAGCATAAATGGTTTGTTGCACACTGCAACATTAAAGAGCATTTGCACCCATGGACAATGGCTGGAAATATGCATCCCTTTGACAGGGCATCTGCACCCCCAAGCTTTATTATCTCAATCCTACCTAAGTGGACATATACATCCTACTAAGTGCTAGTATAGCTTTGCTTAAGCTGCAATACAAGGTGTTTGTACAAAACACTTTTTAAACATGAATACAAACCTAACGCCTGTCTTGATTCCATGCATACAATTTAGTTGATTGGTGCTTATGGTCCCAAGATACTGGTCTCACCATGTTTGCACACAGCAATCAGATATGACCAATCTCAAATATGCAGTTCTATTCTAAATTTATGGTGCAGGCAGGTTGGCACCCATAACAGTGAAAAATGAAGCCTTAGTCATGCTCATCATGGACTCTTAAATAAACATTTCAAAGACTCATGACCATGCAAGAGTTGGAAAATAATAATCATGTTATGTCTGGCTAAATTTTTAGGATGTGCACCAGATGAGCAAACCAGATTTTAAAAGGTAATTTTTTCTGCAGAGAATCAAGGTTTGTACAATTTAGAGCTTCTAAAAATTTCAGTCCTCATAGGAGACATGACAAACTTCAATTCATTTGCTTTTTCTGTCACACATTTCTGTAAAATTTACAGCACTCAACCAGACTAGCAACTATTAGGCATTTATAATTAAAGTATGCCAGGAACGTAGGCAATCCCAGCCTCAAGTTAAGCATGACTTATTAATAGCAGCAATAATGCAAAAGCAATAATCGGCAGGGCGGGGCGGGGCCCAGGTGGTGCAGCCTGTGGTCCCGGCCTGAACCGCCCCTTCAGCTGTTCGGTAATGCGTAAATCAGACAAGCAGAGGGTTAATCTGGGGCAAGTTCTGACTCCAGGAACCACACAACACACATCAAAAAGTAAACAGACATTTCCACACAGTTTGCACCCACACACTTGTAACTCACCAGCACCCTCCCACCCCTATCCTTTATATGGTCATCCGGATCTCCCGAGTAACCCTCCCACTCACCGCAGCACATCAAGAGCGCCATTCCATGACTCTTGTGCGCCGAAAACACTATCAGTTCTATTTTTGACATCTAAGGAATTGTTTTTAGTAGCCTGCTGACAGCTTCTGGGCTGCCAAGATGACACATTTGTTGTTTTGCCCAGTTGTTTGCTGTTTTATTTAATCAACTTAGCAGCCCGTGACATGCCATTACAGACAGCCTGTCTGTCTGTCATAAGAAACCGGGTTTCTTATGTTATCATCGGTGACATCACTCAGATGACCTCGTAATGCCCTCTAAGTACACGCCCTGCATCCAACACGGCTCATATAAATGGATAAAAAATGCGGGAGATCAAAGGCGCGGCATGGAAACGACTCTCAACGCGCGCATGGTCGTTACCACTGCTGGGCGCGGTGGGTTGACGTTAAGGAAGACTGCAATACTTTCAAAAGCAGCGCACTCATTTTATGTCTCAACCATATTAAATAGTACTAAAACACAAATGAACCTCGCGCCAGTAGCTTGCGAGACATGCCGTCAATCCGTGAGTAAGGCCGGCAATGCTAAGGAGCAAGGAGGCAGCTACCCCGTCCAGGGGTGTGGTTCCATGTTTAATTGAGGGGGCTCCTGGACTTCAGCCCCCCCCCCCTCGCCCAACTTGTAAACGAGCGTGGGCTAAATCCGGGAGAAACCCGTACTAACCGGTGCCATCGACAGAGAGCAACGTGACGGTGCCGTTCGTTAGCCCTCCGGTAGGGCTATGAAATGTACACAGTCGCTTCTCTCTCACGCGATTATAGATATTTGCTAAACACTAACGTGTTTTTGTCTCCATGCTCTGTGACCAGAATTCAGCAACTGTCGGGTGTGACATGAAGCAAGCAGGTTTATCCACCCGAGTATCATGTTACGACTTTGTCTCCACTCTCTGGCCAACCACCAGCGCTGTGTAATACACTGCCAAGTGCATCCAACAAATAGGTGTTGTTGGTCGTCGGCTATGAAACGCGCATAATCCCACTCTCCCCATGCGATGGCAAATACCTATAAAGCTCTGTCGTAGTTGTCTTGACGCTCCGGCCGCTTGGCTGCCCTCAGTAATGCACTGACAGATGATTACGTCATATATGTAAGTACGTGCCGTCGGCCAGTCAAGAGATATCGAACCATATTTTCGCCCCGACGCACCACCCGGCTGCCAGCATTTAGTGATACGCCGTCAGCGGGTCAGAACAGCAAAGGTGCAGTATGTTTTGGTGCTAGCCGATATACCTCCGACAGCGCTATCAAACGCGCGTGGTCCCTTTGTCTGCGCACGATTACAAACCTTTGTAAAACGCTCTAGCATTCTCACCCGGGCACGCGCGGCCCGTCTGCCCGGTTTCAGTGATACGCCTTCACCGGTTGTAGCCTTCGGTGGTATGTGATGTCATGTAATCCGACGCCGTCCGCGCATGTGGTTCGCTGGCCAAGAACCGCCGTCCGCCCAGCCTCGAAACCCGTGTTGAGCGGACAAGTGATAGTCTGCGTGTCTCATGTGCACATGTTTTTTCTTAGAGCATTTGTAAATATGTATTGGCGTTTCCAGACAGCATGGAATGGGCACAGTGAGGATTTGGGAGCGTTTACGTAAAACTTGGCTCGGATCAGAATGACTGTAATAGGCACATCTCTTTAATGCACACGATTTGTTTTGATGTGCTGCGCGAGATGCCCAGAATAACCAACTAGTTCCAGCGATCCGTCGCACAGTAGACGTAGACAATACTGCCATATAACATTTGAACATTAGGACCACAGGTTCGTTTCATTGGGCAGCACTGTTCGTTAATACGACAAATGTGCTTGGACTTTGCAGGTATTAGTTTGAAAGTGCATCTCGCCGCAGTGTTTCCAGCCCCACCACCGGTGTGCACCGTTCTGCAACAGCAAAATGTCAAGGACATCGGCAATCCCTGGAGGGCTGCGGCTCCTGATCTCTACACGTCAGGGGACCGGGCCAGATGAAGCCGCTGCTGTCTCCGCACCATCGACGGACGTCACTATCAAGGTCGCGGTCCGCCGAGGGGCCGGCCGGAGGCACAGGCCTGCTGCCGGTGATCCCCTCTGGACCACCTGCCGCAGGGTAGGCGCCGCCCGCCGCCGCCCGGCTAGTGGTGCTCGGCCACGGGCGCCGTGCTGACGGGCTCGCTGCGGCGCGGCGCCGCCGGCTGGTGCTGGCAGCTGCCGTCCAGGAACGGGCAGCGCGGCTCGTGCCGGAACCGGCGTCGGCCGCCGCCGGCCGAGTCCGAGACCGAGGCGCGCCACGCCGCCGCCGGCGCCACCGCGTACGACTCCCTGCGGGTACAGCGAGGTTGGAGAATTGACTTCAGGGACCCGGCGAATGCCATCCTGTCAGTGGGGAGAGCGCATGAGTGGCAGGAAGACGGAAGGAGGGGCAAGTTTATCTTATTCGTAAGTCATGGCTAAACTCCACCCCTCTGTACTCCTCGGCTTAACTTGCCTCCCCCCCCCCCCCCTCTACCCATACGCACGGGGACAGTGCCTGCTTTTGGATGTAAGGGACGTTAAACACGGTGATTTCGGATCAGCTTTGGGCAGGCTTAGCCTCATTGGCTCCTCCGCCCCCCCCCCCCCCTGCCCCCTCCCTCCTTCCGGCAGTGGTCTGCTGAATCTGGACCGGGCTGTGTGTGTTCGGACTGACCTGGCGATGGTCTGGAGGCGGTCGGCGCTGGTCGGAGGGTCCGCCTGGTCGGTGAAAGCCTTGGGGTCGCTGTCGGAGTGCAGCCGACGCACGCAGCAGGGTCGCCGCCGCCGGTACGTACCACGCAGGTTCTCACCGTCGTCCTCATGCTGGTAGCGGTTGTCGTGCATTGTGAACGGGAACTGCAGCTCCTCGGAGCGCAACCCCTCAAACTGGCGGAACTGGCGCGGTGGCGTGTAGTGGGCCCTGCCCCAGGCCGCTCTCGTGCAGCGCCTGCACCGTCGTCTCGTAGTGGCAGCAAGCAGGAGTGGTATAGAAGCGGTCTCCGAACCACGCGCCGTCCCGCTCCGGCGGCGGCCGGCATGCGAATGACTTGGGCATGCCGGCAGCTTCTCTCGAACAGCCTAGCGCGGCAGGCGGTGGGCTCGAATCGTTTCAGCGAGGTTGTGGGAGGTCGCTAATTGATACAGGCTATCCGGATATGTGGATATCTTATCCGTGTCCTACATGATCCAGCCTTTCAGGTAAGCGAGACGCTGACACGCTTCGAAATATGTGGGCCCGACTTGGAAACATGAATTCTTGCAGACAAAAGCGTACGCCAGTTGCGAATAACTAGCAATAAACTAGCAACGTCTTAATCGCGCGGGAAAACATCCACCAGCACTTCTGATGACGAGAGAAGCGTCAGCAGCATTGTGATTTCATCGCTTTGTTGCTGCTTTAGACGTGTGAACGATGGTGACAAGCTGGTCTACCCAAGAAGTACTCCAATGATTCACAAACACATTCGGGCTATTCTTCAGCGTTCATGGCACTTAAATATCTTCAGCGTTCACGGCATTCAAACATGACCCACTTCCGCCCTCTCATATCTGCGATTCACCCAGAATTTGTTTGCATACATGGATTCAAGCAGTCATAGCCTGCATTCCTAAGTCTTAAAAATCACGTAAAAATGGAACACTACCGTGACCGATTTCCAACTGGTCCAGGCCTGTCCTGGGCTGACTCCCAGCGCCAGGGACCATTGCATGCATGCATCGCCGGTAGCCACGCGATCTGTGCCTGAACGGCACCATACATGGAACGTGCCGAACGCGCGCCGCTCACCCCGCCACGCTAGCTGGGCGTGGTCGGCCTCGAGGTGTGCCCCGCACCACACGACCACCTGGAGATGGGTTGCGAATTTGCGCGCGTTGAAGTTGGATTGCAACATCGCGCGACCAAACCGACTGTGTGTCTAAAATACTGGCATTATTTTACGTGTATTAGATCGTTCGATATACATCATTTAGCGCAGCATGTCATCGATGCGTTCGTGCCAGAACTACACCGACGCGCCAGAAAAAAATATAATGAAGCACTACGACAGTGGGGGCTAGCGACCTAGGAACGGCATACATGTCAGCAATGCAAATTGACCATTAAAAAAAACGTAAGTCACTCTCCCTGTAACCAGCCTCATACAATGTCGCAAAGTTCCAAACCTATGCAGCAGCGTCGGCTACAACCGTCCTGCAACCAGCGCTGCACTTCCGCCGGTCAACACGGCGACACCTGCTCAATCGCCCGTCCCGCGGACGTTGCCACGAGCGCGCCCGCTGCCAGTACCCCCGGCCCACAGCCGACGCCCTTACAGCCCCGCCCCACGCGGAACGGCTCTGCGGCCCGGACCGGGGCGTTGCACGGCGCGCGGCGGCTCTACGCGACGCCGTCCGGCGCGTCCGCGTCCGCCGCGTCCTCCTCCAGCACGTCCAGCGCCCTCTTCAGGTGCGCGCGCCGGATGTGCGTGCGCATGTTGCCGCGTTGCGCGAACCGGTGCTCGCAGAACGGACAGTCGAACGGCCGGTCGCCCTCGTGCGTGCGCCGGTGCGCCACCAGCGCGTTCTTCTGTGTGAAGCGGCGGTCGCAGTGGGTGCACTGGAAGGGACGCTCGCCGGTGTGCGTGCGCACGTGGCGCGCCAGCAGCGACGGCTTGCTGAACACGGCCGGGCAGGCGAAGCAGGCGTGCGCGCCGCTGCCGGCCGCCGGCTGCAGACCGTGCGTGCGCAGGTGGCGCGCCAGCTGCTTCTCACGTCGGAACGAGCGCGGACACTCGGAGCAGGTGAACTCGCCCTCGACCAGCGCGTCCGCCACCACCGCCTGCAGCTGGCGCGTGCTCTGTCGTCCGCTCACCGCCGGAGGCTGCGGCGGGGGCGGCGGCGGCGGCGGAGGCGGCGGAGGGGGTGGAGGTGGCGGCGGCAGCGCCGGCGCCGGTGCCTCGAAGGCAGCCCCGGCGCCCGGCTGCAGCGCCTCTACGCCGACAATGCGACCTTCGGCGTCGATCTGCAGCTGGACACGCAGCTCGGTGTCGCCGGACGGCGCCTGGTCGCCGGGCGCCGACAGCACCAGCTGCAGCTGCTGCGCCAGCGCCGGCTCCAGCTGCAGCGCCGCGCCGCCGTCGGCCGGTGGCGGCAGCTGCGGCTCGGCCGCCGCCAGCACGTCACCATCGCCGGCCTCCAGCTCCTTTAGCATACCCTGCAACACACCATGGCACGGCTGAAGATGGCCACCGAAGATCAGCTGGTGGCACAGTGCCACAAGGACGGAGCGAAGAACCACGGGAGACATCAACAGACCAGGGTAAAAGAAAAAATGAAGCACACCACACGCAATATATTTTGCTGTTCCACACCACCATGGCAAATACATAGAGCCCGGCAAATACGACCGTGCCCAAAAACCGTCATATCCTTAAAAATATCCTCCCACGGGTTCACAAAAGGAACACATCCCGCCGACCCTGTTTAACCCGCGGCACCGCCCAGCTGCGATGGTCACCCAGATCTGTGCGTCCGACAGGTCAGACCGCCTCACCTGCAGTTGAAGCTTAAGAGGGTCGGCGGACGGTGCGGGGACGGTAGCGGCGGCGGCGGCGGCGGCGGCGGGAGCGGTAGCAGCAGCAGCGGCGGAGGCGGCGGCGACCGAGGCGGCAGTCCCGCCGCGACCGGGCCGCTCGTGGACAGCCATGTGGATGCGCCGGTGACCGGAGGTGCGGAACCAGCGGCGGCACACCTCGCACTGGTACGGCCGCGTGTCCGTGTGCAGGCGCGAGTGCACCTTCAGCGAGCACTTGGTGGCGAAGCGCGCCTTGCACACCAGACACTCGAAGTTGCGCTCACCCGTGTGCGTCTTCAGGTGGCCGAGCAGGGTCGACTTGACGGTGAAGCTGCCGCAGTCGGGGAGCCGGGGTCAGGGGCGGGTCGGTAGCCGACAACGGGGCGGGGGCGGGGGCGGGGGCGGGGCGGGGCGGGGGCGGGGCGGGGCGGGAGCGGGGCGAGGGCGCACGTCGGAACCGGCGGTGACGTCTGTCCCAAAGAGGTGTCCCGCGGACCTGACACCTCCTCTGCGCTCGCGACAAGCAACACCTGGCAGTCAAACGGGGCGGAGTCCTGCAGTGGCAGTATTTTGCTATCTGCCACACGCATGTTAGGAGCAGCTCGTTAGCCAGGGCTTTCCACATTGCTGTCGAACACATCGGTCAGCAGTCGCCGACGGCGGAGCCCGTGCCAACCAGCCCCGTCCGTGGCCAGGGCGGAGGCGCCGGAGCCGCTGCCGGCCCGCTGCGCCGCTCAAGCTCTCACCGTTTGAAGCAGAGCTCGCACAGGTAGGGCTTCTCGCCGGTGTGGATGCGCATGTGGCGCACCAGGTCGGAGGGCTTGCGGAACGTCTTGCTGCAGGTCTCGCAGCTGTGCTTCAGGCCCTCCGTGCTCTCCGGCTCCGAGCGCTGGGACCGCGCGCACGCGTCAGGCCCAGGGTCAGCACCAGAGGGGGTGCCGGGCACTCACCGACACACGGCAGTGTACAAAGTGCGGCATGATCGCTGCCCGACGTTCCTCTGATATCCTAGCAGGTCGACCGTTCTACAGATCGACTGCCCCATCGCACTTGGGGATTGGACAACGCATCTTTCACTCTCACGCAATCACTACGAATTAATCACCCGCTGCTCAAATCGATGTGGCGTTCACAATGCATTAACTGTTGCGTCCCCACAGTTCGCGTGGCGCGATACCACGTCCAGGCGTCGCGTAACGGAGTCCAGGCGTCGCATAATGGATCTGCACCGCGTGAATACTTGCTATGGAGATCTCGCGTCTTGGACCGCTGCTGACGTCGACGCGAATCCGCTATCTGGTAATGACAGCGCAAGAAATATCGGCAAATACTGAGCATGGCCCGATGATTCTGATAAGCTCGCGCGCCGGCCCTCGTCAGCCGTTAGCGGCGGAGCCCCCCTCCTCCCCCCCCCCCCCCCTGCCAGCTCACCTGGGTCGGCCCGTTCTGCATCTTCTCGACGGCCGACTGGATGAGGCAGGTCTCCGAGTGTGAGCGGCCGGCCGTCAGCGGCTGCTCGGCCAGCCGCGCCGTCACCTTGTCACTCAGCCGGATCACCGACTGCAACGGCGCGCGCGCGTCAGCCGCCGTCTCCGAGACGCCGCCGCCGCCGAGCCCGGCCACCGACCCATGGACGGACGCACGGCCGGGCCTCGCCGATCGACACTGTGCAGCAGTCACAGGACACGGTACGGCAGGAAGTCACATGGTACCGGTCCGATCGCCGACCGAAGCATTGGAGAAAATCACACACCACCCGGGCAGTGTACAGAGGACCACGTTCTGTAGCCGGATGCGGGGGTGCAGACAAACCGCCGGTACACCCAGCCGACGGTTCCTCTCTCCAGCGGGCGACCCACTCACCTTGGCCTTGCTCTTGCCGCGGCCGTGCTCGCGCGCCACGTGCTTCCGCAGCGCCGTCGGCGTGAGGAAGCGACTGCTGCACCGCTGGCAGGCGTGACCGCCCGTCTCCGGCTGCGTGCGCTGAGGTGGAGGAGGGGGCGGCGGCGGTGGCGGCGGCGGCGGGGGAGGCGGCGGTGGCGGCGGCGGGGGAGGAGGAGGCGGTGGCGGCGGCGGATCGTGCGTGACACTGTGCTCGGCCAGCTGCTCGGCCGTGCTGAACACGATCAGACAGCGGTCGCAGAGGTGGGCCGCGGCGGCCGCCGGCTGGAACTCCACCGCGTGGCTCGCCTCATGCGTCTGCGGACACGGACGGGTCAGGTCACGCCGGTCGGTGACCGAGATGGGCGGCCCGGTCGCAGGGGCGCGCTGCATAGAGCATAGAGCACGCAATCCAGGGATGGAGCCCGTCCAGGGCGTAGCTCATTAACCCGCGGGACATTCGCGCGTACCAAGGTCACCAAATGCGAGGGTCCACCCCACGGCATCACGACCGTCGCCGCTCGGATCCTGCACTGTCCCGCAATGCATGGTCGGGCTCTCCAGACCGCCTGATTCCGCGTTGCCAAACCACACGGCACCCGTCCACCACATGGCGCTCACTCCAAGCAGTCAGTCGCGCCCGTCGACGCCATACCCATCAGCCATATCCGCCCCGGCCAGACGCCACGCCTGCGGGCCCGGGGGCCGACGCGGCACACTCCCGGCGCCCGGCGCGCTCCGGAGACACCGCCCACCCGCGCTCACCGCCAGTGCCAGCTGCGTGTTGAACAGCTGCTTGCAGACGCGGCAGCGGTGGATCAGCGGCTGTGAGAGCGACGGGTCCTGAAACGGAGCGACGCGTCAGGCGGCCGCGGCGGCGCCAGCTGCACGCGTTCCTTCACAGGAGGCTGTGCGGCAACACCCACCACACGTGTATGCCGACATGCGCTGCTACCCGGCAGCGCACGCCGGCCGTTCCAAAGTGACCAACATCACCTGGACACGAGGCAGTGTTTGTCAATGGTGTAGCGTACCCGTATGCCATGCCCGCTCGTAGTGACGTCCAGTCATGACTGCTCCATCAGCACTTGTGTCTATGTTGGTGCTGCGCCAGTTACGATGAGCGGACCTCACCCGAACCACACGCACGGTTGGTCCGGACACCTCACTCCGTCTAATATATCGCGGCAGGCCGCCGGCCGGCCCACCCACGCCCGGCGCCGGCCGGGCCGAGCCCAGCGGCGGAGCCCGCCCGCACCTGCAGCAGCACGTTGTCGGAGTCCATCTCGAGGATCATCTGGCCGTCCTGCTCGTTGCGCAGGCGCAGCACCTCGTCTTCGGAGTCGGGCTCGGCCTCGACAGCGGTGGCCGCCGCCCGGTCCACGGCCGCCCGGCAGCCGCGCTCCTCCGCACCTAGCGCTGCAGGGCAGACGGCGCTCAGGTGACGTCACACGGTGCTCAAGTGACGTCACCGAAGACGCGCTCACGCGTCTTCAGCCGGCGCGCGCTCGCAGAGGCGAAGAGTCTTGCATAGTTCACAGTCACACTCCTTAACCCTCGTGGTTGGCGGGTGGCGGAGGGTCGCCCGCGCCCAGTGGTCACGCCCTCAGTGGCGAGGCGACAATGCTCCCGCACAGTGATGTGAAGGTTGTACCAGCGCTAACGACCGATTGCTCTCACTATATAATCAAATTATCCTATGTCTGGTTTAACGAGCGTTACCAGCTTTCCCCTTCCACTTGAAGCAGTCGCTCATCGCCAGCGTCTGTGACGCTTTCTCCCAAACCGGCCCACCTGCGCGCAGTCTAACACGGCCCCACCCCGCGCGCGGCCGGTCCGACCAGAGCGGCGCGGCGCGACGCGGCGCGCGGTACCTGGTGACTCGTCGGCGGCGATGGCGGCGATGTTGGCCAGCATCAGTCGGTGCTCCGCCGACATGTCGGCCTTGACCTGCGACAGGCCGGCCGCCAGTTCCGAGGCAGGGAACAGCTGCTGCTTCAGCGCCGTCTCCAGCTGAGCCAGGCCGTCCTGCGCGCGTGAGCACCGCCGCCGGCCGTCAGTGCACCGTACACGCTCTCACGTCCAACTACGCACTGGCTGGTAGCTGTTTTCCACGCCCCTTGTGTGAAGCGCCAGCGACTGCATCGGTCATATAGTTGACACGCCGAACGAACCAAGCTGCCCCAGCGTTCGGGCGATAGACAGTTGACCTGGGACTGTACTCTGCGACGCCACACTGATAAGATTTACGAGCCGCTCATCTCGCGTGCAAACACAGATGCCGACGAACACCGGTTGAAACAGCGCCATTGACCACACGTCAATGGGCGCATCGGATCCGCTCGGCGGTCCAGTCCAGTCTCAGTTCCAGTCCCAGTCACAGTCCCAGTTCAGACCTGTGAGACGGGCCGGGTGCCGTGGTCGCCGCCGATGGTGACGGTGCCCGAGGCGTCCGCCGTCAGCGGGGGCAGCTCCGGAGCCGCCAGCTCGCCTGCCGGCCGCGCGCCGACGCGTCACCACAGGGACGGCGCGACAACGCAGGTGGCGTACGCAGCGGCGCCGGGCCGGTGAGGAGATCGCCGGTCACAGGGCCGCGCGTCACTCACGGGGACGCCCAAACAGCCGACAGCACGGCGACATGGCTTGTCGGGATAGCTCGCAGTACCTCACGACATTCATGAGACACACACACAACACACACACACAGCAGCGGGAGGCGGCGAGCACGGCGCGGCGGAAGGAGGGTGTACGGCACGCCCGCCGCAGCCGGTGGCTGCCGGCCCACCAGGCGTGGCGCGCGGCGCCGGCGGCGGCGGCCACTCACATTGCACCATCTGGCCGTGCTCGTCCAGGATGACGCTGACGTTCTGCGCGCGCGTGGTGTAGGCGGCGTCCGACAGCAGCGGCTCCTCCTCAGGCGTCATCAGGTCCGTGAACAGGCCGCCCGACAGCTGGTTTTGCTGCAGACAAAGGCGATGAGCCGGCCTGAGCTCGCCGCCACCGACACAGACGGACAATCTATCCGCAGTCGAGCAATCCAGCCACAGCTGATTGGCCAGACAACGACCCCGCTGTTGCAGCCACCCGATCTGTCAGTGAGGCTGGATAAGCTTGGCTGCTAATGACGAGAGGGCCTCCTCGCTAGGTAATGGCCGTTGATAACTTTACCTGGTGCAGGCGCGCGGACAGCCCTAGTCACTGACTGCGGCCGCTGAGCGACAGCCGTGTATGTCGGTGATAGGGTAAATACCTCCCGTACTTGCATATCAATGCCGAACAATCACCCCTACCTATTGTTGACCACTAAACAACCTTATCTGATGCTGATAACTTAACTATCACAGCCAATGACAGCCGAACGACGATCTACGACCTTCAGGTTACGAGACTCACTTTCTCGCATAACCGAATATTCCACGCACAGACCGCCACCCTGAAACACGTCTTCAAAGCTGGAGGACAGGGGCGCCTTGAAGCGCGGCGCCCGCGCCCTGCCGCCGTCCCCCGCCGGGGGCTCACCAGAACGTTGCTGTTGGCTATCTCGAACTTGTGACAGCGCGTGTGCTTCTTGCAGATCATGCGGGTCTTGAAGCGGCGCTGGCAGTACGGGCACATGTACGGCCGCTCCTGCGCACGGGACCACACGATCAGGGCGCGTGTTTTCGTGCTAGCCGGTCGGAAGGAATCGGTTATGTGAACCCAGCATCCCTTCACACAGCTCGATGTATGGTAAGTCCTCAATACGATCCGTAGCCGCCTCTCATTTGTCTCGCAAGCGTCATGATGACCGATAATTTTTCAAACCGTCCCCAGAGCAAAACTTGCGATCTGTTTGCGACGCGGCCACTCGTGAAACAATCTGTTGAGAGCATTGGGAGATCGCGAAGTGGGGCTACCAATGGTGTCAACCTGAACGAGACTCCCACAACTTCTAGTCTTCAAGACCTGCACAAGAATACGTTGAGAATTTACGCCCGCAAGGAAAACGATGTGGTTCCTAAACTCCATACAATTACTATTCTGCCGAATATGCATGTCATCACTACAACTACATTCGCCCTACCCGTAACAATATGCAGCGACTATTCTGCTCACTCTGCATCCTACCTCTTACTCCTCGATTTCCTTGCATATGTAGTTGTCATTCTATCAATCATACATACTATTACGCAACGCGCACACATATCCTGTGTCGGCCAGAGGGCGTGAGCCGCGGGCGGGGGCGGCCCTACTTTACCTGGGTAGTGGGTGGTCATGTGTCGGGTCATGCTGCTCTTGGTGGTGAAGGCGTGCGAGCAGATGGGGCACTTGAAGAGGCGCGCGCCAGTATGCGTCCGCAAATGTGTGGCCAGCACGCTGGACGTCATGAAGCTCCTGTCGACAGAGCCGTTGGCGCACGTCAACACGGCGCCGCCCGGCAGCCAGCGGACGGGTCAGAAGCGCACGGGCAGATCAGGCGCCCCGCGGCGATTACGTAGCAGTGTACGTAGCAGGTGCAGCTTACCGCCCGTCTTGTGTGCGGAATACACGTCTAAACGGCATCCCACTGTGATGATGATGCTTGGGATTTTAGGCTGCGCCGACTGCGATAGTCATTTCGCCCCACAGTTGTTACGTGCCTAAGGCAGCGTATAGGCAACTTAACATCCTGTCAGCTAGAAAACAGTTGTCAACAGCTGACCTGCAGCCGCACATGCATTAAAATGCCAATTTCACGGGAGACGTCACTGAGCACCAACAGAGCTCAGTCCGAGTGAAACCCTGGGTCAGCAGGAGTGATCCTGACTAACGATCCGCCAACGACCCAGGGGACAGGGGTCGGGTCGGTCGGGGTCGTCGGAGCGTCACTGACTTGTTGCACATGGGGCAGTGGTGCGGTTTCTCGCCCGTGTGCCAGCGCATGTGCTGCTTCAGGTGGGAGACCTTCTTGAAGGCGGCGCGACACTGGGTGCACCGGTGCGGCCGGTCCGGCGCCTCGTCGCCCTCGGGGATCTCAATACGTCGCGGACGGTCCACCTGCACCATACCTGACCAACACACACCGTACGGGGCTGTTAGGAACAGGCGGAGCGGCGCAGAGCCACCACACGGCCCACGCACGGCGTTTCTTGCAATAGCAGCCGCGGAGGGCAAATGGAGCTGAACGGTTGCACGGTTGCTGAACGGCTCACCACCAGGCTAAATCAACGGTATCGGTATCGCGCACCACGTGTCGTGTATGTTGCACACACGCGTCACCGCCGCACGCAAACCAGGCATCTGTCCCGTTTTGGCTGAGAGTGTGGAAGCTCTCTACGCGGCCCCCGAGCGTCCGGCTAGACTCCGGAGCTGACGCCGAGACCGGCGCGCGCCGCGGCCGGCCGCCAGCCGCCGGCGCCAGCTGCCTCACCGCTGCTGGTGATGAGGATGGGCGGCTGTAGTCGCACCTCCGGCCCACTGTCCGGCGACGCCCTCTTCCTCTCGTCAGCGTCGTCACCGTCGTCACCTGCCGCACGAGGACCGTCAGCACCGACGCCGCCGCTCGCGCAGGTGACGTCACATAGGTCGCTGAGTGGCTGCTCGATGGACAGAGCCAGCGACCAAACGCTACGCACACCGGTAGCCAGGCTCTAGTAGCCCTCTTTCAATGCACGGTTGTGAGGGTCAAGCCTGCAAGACATCCCGGCGCGCGGCACAATGCCGATAGACTTCATCTGGGTACCATCGCAATAATTCAAAAAGACACACTGCAGCACAGTGAACAAAAACGGTGTTGCATGCCCAAGCTTTCCCTGCATCCAGCCAAAATTAACTATCCGCTTCGACGTACTATTTTAACTGCTAGCCACCCATACATTTGCCGTGTACCCACTGTCCCAACTAAGCCGACAAAGCCGTCGTATCGCGAGATGTGGCACGTCTGGTAACCCTGAGCCAGGCACCATCAGCCGGTGCAGCGGCGCGGCCGGCTTCCCCCCCCCCCCTCGCTCACGTGTAGCGTCGGTGCGGGTCCGTCGGTGGGCCGCCTCGTGCGCCTGAATCTGGCCCAGCGTGCGGCACTGCTTCTCACAGTACTGGCAGTGGTACGGCTTGGCGCCCGTGTGCAGCCTGCAACGGCCGGCCGTCAGACGCCGGCGCCGCGACACACCACCGCCCGCCGGCCCGCTGCCGCGCGGTCGGAACGGACCCGGCCGGCCGGCGACACAAGCACTGCAGCTGATGGTCAGGAGCCACCTGCTCAGACAGCTGACACGTCGACCCGTGCCGTCCGCCACGCTATGACTGGGTCCGTGTGGCCGACGGCCTAGAGCGACACCCCAACTCACTGCGATGGCCACCAATAGCGCTCCCAGTGGTGTGGTACACAGCCCGCTCTCCGCCGAACCGAAGTGACAAAAACCCCGCTGAACTGCGGGAGACCTCTGGCCCCCTTTGCCAGCAAACTGGACCGGCCACGACAGCCTTTTGATCGACCTCCACCAGACCAGATATCAATAATGACGAGGTGGAGCTGGACCCAGCACTAGCCAGGGGTGACTCCAGGGCAGCTGCTATCACTGACCTCAGGTGGACCTTGAGCACGCCGGCGGTGGAGAACTTTTTGTGGCAGATGGGGCAGCTGGCCAGCTTGATTCCGCGGTGGGCACGCAGGTGCGACTCCAGACCGGAGCGGACAGTGAACTGGCGGAAGCACTGCGGACACTGCCGGCCGGCCACGAGGCGTCAGTCAATCTCGGGGACGCCGCCGGCCCGGCACGCCGCCCGGCCCGGCGCCAGCGCCACATACAACCGTCCGTCGGGGACTCGGTCACCAATTCGTCACCCGTGGGGACGTGGGGACGGGCAACCACGGGGAGGACTTGGCTCGGTCCACGCGCACAGTTGAGGGAAACAGAAGCAAGTTACTGGTCATGACCTAAATGCGTTAAATTCCAATCAAACAATGGGCGCCGGGGATGCATCTAACGTCACTCAGAACACCAAAGACCGCAACAGCTGCCGCATAATCCTCAGCAAGAACTCAGTCGGCTGACACTCACCCGGAACGGCTTGTCCTTGGTGTGGATGCGCAGGTGGCGCACCAAGTCGTACGGCTTGCGGAACTCCTTGGCGCAGAACAGACACTGGAACCAGCGCAGCCGGCCCTCGTAGCGCACACGCACCAGATGCTTGCGCTCGCGGCCCTGCACCATCTTGTCCACGACGGTGATGATTGCCGGTCGCTTGTCGCGTGTGGGCTCTCCGGCGCGCGGCGGCGGCACCGGCGGCGGTACCGGCGGCAGCGGCGGCGGTGGCGGCGGCGGCGGCGGGTCGGTGCGCTGCGGAGCCGCCGCCTTCGGGCCTGGCGCCGCCTGCACGGCGCTGTCGGGCGGCGCGCCGCCGTCCGCGGCCGCCGCCGCCTCGCCCGCACCCTCGGCCGCCGGCAGCACGCAGTCGGGCACGACGCCGGAGCGCGCGATCTCCTGGATCTGCGCCTGGATGCGGTCGCGCGCCGCAGCGTTGCCGGCCGAGTAGTCGAGCAGCTGGCGGACCAGGTCGCGCAGCGCGTCGGCGCTCATCCCGGTGTTGCTCGGCGGATCGTGCATCTTGCTGATGTGACTGCCGAGCACGCCGCTGGTGGCGAAGCCGCAGCCGCAGTGCTCGCACTTGAAGATCCGCTCGCGCGCCTCGCTCAGGTTGTGTACGCGGCGCACGTGGTTGCGCAGGTTGCCGCGCTGCGCGAAGAACATCTTGCAGATGGTGCACTGGTAGGGCCGGATCTTGCCGTGCTTCGACTCGCGGTGGATCTTGAGCGCACTCTTCTGGTTGAAGGCGCGGTCGCAGATTTCGCACTGGGGGGTGCGGCGGGGACGTGTTACTGGGGAGGGGAGTGTAGCGGGGGCACGTTAGAGTAGCGCTCCCTTCAAATGAGCCTGGACCTAGAGTAGCGCTCCCTGCAACTGAGCCTGGACAAGCCAGTCGATGCCAAACGAAAAACACGTATGTTTTGGACGCCAGCTGTACGTCTGGCCACCAATGAAGCCACCTTGTGAGGTGGTGCGGATGGCGTTGCCGGCTGCTCGAGCGCTCCGCGAAGCTGCCTTGCTACGCCAGTGCTTCCACCCGAGGCCAGCCAATCGCAGCCCAGAGAGCCGTCTCACCTTGAACGGCTTCTCGCCGGTGTGGATCAGCTGGTGGCGGCGCAGCAGGCCCGGCTTGGCGAACGACTTCTGGCAGATCTGGCAGCGCGTGCTGGGCCGCGAGCTCGGCTTAGTCCGTCGCCGCTGCTGCTGCAGCTTCAGTATGGACCGGATCTGCGGGAGGGGCGCCAGCCGGCCGTCACACACCCGCCGGTCCACGTACAGCCCCCGGGACCGCGCTACCGATGTAGGGCAGCATTGGACGACAGCTGGTCAAAGTTCTCACTTCGGCAGCGTGTTCGGTTGATTTCAGGACGCAGGCCACTGCTTTAGTCGTTAGCCATAGTCACCATCTCTCACGCCGATCATAGCAGAGAACACAGAAACACGGCGTGCGCTGGGCAGGGGTCAGGAGCTATGTCACGTGTGTAAACCAGGCACCGGCCGGGGCGCGGCAGCCCGGCCCACGCCACAAACGTCGCCCATCACAGGGGACGACAGTGACTGCACTTCCGACGCCGTTTCCGGACGCCGCCATGCCTGCCGCGTGGAAGCATACGACACCGTATACTATCCCGCGTCTGCTTTACCCCACAGCCACCGCGAGGCAGTCACCGTCCTTCCGAGTCACGCGGGCCACGCCCGGTCGTCAGCGGCCGGACCCGACCGCCGGCTGCCAGCAGCCACCACTGACCGTCTGATGCTCCTTGTGGTGGTCCAGCAGCTCCCTGTTCGTGGCGAACACCAGCTTGCACTGTGTGCACGTGCGCTTGATGTTGGACGGCTTCAGCACGTTGTCGCCGCCGGCCGGGTCGGCGCCGAGCTCGGCGTCGGCGTCGGCGTCGGCGACGGTGCCGGGGCCCGACTCGGCCGCGTGGCCGGCCTCGCCGGCGGGCGCCGTGACGACCAGCTCCAGGTTCACGGCGGCCGGCGCCGTGTGCACTGGCAGGTGTTTGTCCAGCAGTACCTGCGGCGGACATCCGGCCGGCGGGTCAGCTGTGCGCCGCTGGCGACCTCGCGGCGCGTGACGGCCGGCATCGCCCCCCACATGGAGGGCCCGCTGTTGCCACCACGACCGCTACGGCCCGCTGTCACAGTCTCAACACCGGCGACCCAGGGTCATCACGCCCAACACACGTGGCCTGCAGAGCTCACTCCCAAGGCAGGTGAGCTGTAGCCAGTACTCCCAAACACAGACGACCCACTGTCATCACTTCCAACACAGATGACCTGTACTCATCACTCCTAAGAGTTGACCCGTTATCACTACTGCCGCCGCGGATGAACTGTTGTCACTACTCTCGACGAAGAACTGGAGGACATCAGGTGATTCTCAACTCTTCACTGAAGGCATAAGCTTAGAAACCCCACGGGCACGAACTGATAGGTTGAGCGATGCTAACAAGCAGCCACAACATCGAACAGATGATCCTCTCAGGTTGGCAAAGAGTGCCCTCCGCGCTGATCGACGACCCAGAAAACATCAGTCATTCTGCTACCCCAGTAGCCCGTCCCCATTCTACCAAACAATCTTCTAACCTCTTCCAAGAACAGCAGGCCAAACCGAAAGTGCAATGAAATCATCTGGCCACCTCAAAGCCCAACCTGGCAATCGCTAACCTAATCGCTAATCGCAACCGCTAGTTACATCCTCCACCCCCATCCCCGCCCCTCGTAGAAGTGGCAACGTGATACGCGACGCCAACAACCCCGTGCCGACACGGCAGGCTTCCACTTCGGTCGAAACACCGCACACGGTAGCGCCGCCGCCGACAGACCTGAGTGGGGAACTCGTGCTGGCACTGCGGGCAGACAATCGCCTCGTCCACCTCGTGCAGGGCCAGGTGGGCGCGCAGCGAGGCCACGCGCCGGAAGGCCCGGCCGCAGTCCGGGCAGGGCGTTGGGTCGGCCGCGTGGCTCACGGCGTGCAGCTCCCAGTTCTTCTGCGGGGCACCGGGCGGCAGCGGCGCGTCAAAGGCGGCGTGTCAGGGGCGGCGCGTCAGGGGCGACGTGTCAGGGACGGCGTGCCAGGGCAGCGCATCAGGGGCGGCGTGTCAGGGGCAGCGTGTCAGGGGCAGCGTGTCAGGGGCAGCGTGTCAGGGGTGGCGTGTCGGGGCGGTGTGTCAGGCACGACGCTCGCGACGTCCGACGACCACGGCGTCACAGACTTCGGGAGGGCCTCGCCGTTTTAGGTGAACAAACCGCAGGCAGGTAACCTACTTTACCCTCGTGTTCATCTACGAAGATGTCGACTTCAGGCGCACGTCACGAATATGCCCAATTACATCCACAGGTGCACACAACATCAGATGGGGTTCGAACAGCCAAACGTGTAAGTGGCACGAGGGGGAACGGCCGCACTGACCTGGAAGTTGAAAGCCTCTGGACATTTATCACACTTGAATGGTTTCTCATAGTCGTGGGACTTGATGTGGTTGAGGTAGCGTTTCCAGATATTGAGCGTTTTTCCGCACTTCTGACAGCGCCAAGGGGCCTGAAACGGTGCGGGTTGCTGTCAAGACCTCTGCAGTACACCACAAATGGCTGCACACGTTGTCATACAATCGAGTAAACACACTGTCAATATGGTACAAAAATGCAAAATGCCATCACCCTCAAAAATGCAAGGCATTACCTGATGGCCATACAGAATCCCCATCCTTGGCACTTAACTGGTGTACAATGTTGCCAAGTGATAACACAGATGTCAGCTGCTGGTGTGCTCCAGCTGTCGGCAGGCACACTGCCCAGCTGACCCAGTCCGTCGGCCTCGACACACTCATACCAACATACCACTCGGCATCCCAACAGATGGCGCGACTCCCAGCCTCCGTGGGCGATGTGGTAGCGCAGACGTGCGCCGGGACAACTAATGTAGCAGGATGCTACCACTGCCCGAGTCAGGGGCCGACGCGGAATAACATATACGGGCAGTACGGATACCCATAAACTCCGTAAAAAAGTATCCGAGACGTATCGGGTGGGAGCATGGCCATGACGCCAAATACTTTACAGGACTGCAGTGCGGGCCCCCGCCCCACCACGCGGTGTTCCCGCCACACTGGCCCGAGCCCGTCGTGCCGGGGCGGGCGGTCCCAGCGGCGTCGCCGGCCGTGGGCACTAGAGGCGGCCGGCGCTCCGTACCGGTCCAGGCGGCTCCGGGTCCGGCTCGAAGGGGAAGAGTCGCGGCACGCGGCGCCGGGCGCGCGCCGGCGGCGGCGGGCTCTGCTCCTGCCCCAGGCCGGGCGTGTCTGCCAGCAGTGACTCCACCGACGGCAGCGCCTCCGAGACCGGCTCCAGTGCCGCCGACACCGGCCCCAGCGCCTCCGACACCAGCGCCTCCGAGACCGGCCCCAGCGCCGCCGACACCGGCTCCAGCGACTCGGGCACCTGCTCCAGCACCTGACAGAACAGCAGACCGGGTGACAGCGCCAGCTCTAACTCCCGCTGCAATAGTCGAACCAGTAGCAATACAAGTAGCAGCTCAGTGTCTGACACTACAGCAAAGCAGACTACACCAGCTTCGGCGCTGGCCAGTCATCGGCGCCGAACCAACCCAGCCCCAACACGCGGCGAAGCAGCAACGCACTTGCTCGGCCACACCCACATGGTGCCGCACCAGACCCCATCACGCGTGTGTGAGAGCCCTGCCGCGGACCCGTCAACGCGAGCGGAGCCGCCGCGAGCGCGCCCCAGCCGGCCGCATCACCAGGAGGAGGGAGAGGGGAGGACGAGACGCCGCCGCCCGCCGGCAGCAGCCTCCTCACCTGTATGGGCGCTGGCTGGCCATCGTGCTCGGCCTCCGGGTCGGCCGAGAAGATGCCGTGCGCCATGATGTCGGGCCCGAGCGCGCCGCCGCTGGAGAGCACTACCTGGCCACCCATCTGGTTCAGGAAGGCCATCTGTGGGCGGCGGGGAGAAACGCTGCGTGAGGGCGGGCGTTCGCCAGCCCGCTGGCTAACTGCTACCAGAGTGCAAAAACAAGGGATTAAAGCATCATGTTTGGAATAGTTGTCGGAGCGAAACATAGTGGGGGCTCCCCTGAGTGCATGCAGGCTCCACAATTATTATCCCAGATATCATCAGGTATGCCTGTGCATCTAAACAGGTCAACACTTATGTACATGGGCAATAATTCACAGAAAGTGAAGAAAAAAGCAATATCCCAGCACAAACCTGACATGTGCAACAACACTGGCACTGATCAAATCTGGTCACAAAAGGGAGTGAAAACTCATAACCACAGGACTATTTGCCACCTACTTCCCAGTGGCATGCAACAACCTGTCAACACATGCCACATTCAAAACATTGCTGGATCTTTCAGCTGTGACTTACGGCATCCAGTAGTACTGTAGAGCCATCTTCCAGCTGTTTGAGGACATAGCTGCCCTCTGCTGGCACCACACTGATTGGCATTCCCACAGCTGATGCAGTTCCATCATCATTCACTGCCAATTGCATAGATAATGTTACAAGGATGAACTACACCATCTTTTACAGAGCAATATGACAACATATTTCCAAAGCCTTCAATATGTATATATATATATATATATATATATATATATATATATATATATATATATATACATATAATCCCTCCAACAGCCATCCAAACACTGCTGTTTGGAAGTAGGGTGCAAACATGTTTATCTAAATCACATAGATGCTCATTATGCATGTGGCAAACATGTCATAAATGGCTGGGATATTATCTGCTTGAGGCAGTTCGGGGACCCAGAACATGGGGACAGCTATGAACATACTAAACTAACAAAACATCATGCTGGGGCATCAATGTCCTCATCACTGAAAAATCCAGATAATAATTTGGGCTGTTTGGGCTCACTTACCATGCATTATGACACACCTTATACTGACATCAGATAATACTGGGGCCAGCCCCACCCAGGGTGTCTAAGGGGGTTCTCTGGGTCCTGACATCCTTGGAGCACTTATACTGATGTAGGCACTTCCAAAAAGGAGTTGGGACCATGCAATATTCTGAAAGCAAGATGGAAATAAAGTGTACTTACCATTAATCTGAAAAGTGTTAGCATTTGCTAGGTCTTCTGCCGACAATGTCATGATGTTCTCCATGATTGCAGTTGACTGACTGATCTGGAACCAGTGCAGAATATTTCAATGAAATGATTTCATTGTGTGCATATTCAACAATTCACTAAACAAAAACAAAACATACACAAACCAATCAATGCCAATTTTATCAACACCATACATGACAATGCACCTGCTTAACTTTTCAAGACTTGGATGTACTAGGCTCTAAATCATGTTGGTCCCAGAACAAATGGATATTTTGATTCCAATGAATGTTTCCATCATCACCAATTTTGAACAAGTGAAATACTGACACTTGCATGCCTTGCCAAATGTTTCACCACCATAGACCAAAACAATGTCATGAATGAAAGCACTATGACTATCCTCTCCTCTCAAAGCACCCACACTAATTTCTCAATTTGTTATCATTACTGTGATTTGGACAGGTTTGTTCAGGCACAAAATGAGATGTCAAATGAATCAGGAAAGCTTGTCACAGTTTATCATATAACTGGAAGATAACTTGTCTGCCTTAAGGTATTACAATGCTCTTAAAAGTGATGCCTCTAATCTTAACAGAATGTCAAAATCCCTCATGACTATGCTGGAATGCAGAGTATCTGAACATACTAGTCCTGTGAATCAGGTCAGCTTTCATTACATGCAGATTGAAATGATACAACTGTGTTTTCTTAAACAAACAGGCAGCAGGTGATTTAGCTAATTTTTTAGCCCAAACAGACAGGTGACAATGTAATTTATTATGTACTAAAGTTGTTAATGCCTCATCTAAATATTGTTATATAACATTGCTTTTTATGAGAAGTATTGCAGTTTGATGACTGGAAAATATTCTTAAGTACCTAACCATATGTGCAATTTTTACAAATCCTCCACATGCAACATATTTTTCAAAAAGGTGTTATCTTTAGTGCAGGTGCTGGTGCAGCAATGTGCTTGGAGTTCCATGCACCTGCAATATACAATTTTCATGAAAGAGTGTGGAATGTTTCCATGTAATAAAATAGAAAATAAAAGAGAGCACAACTTTAGGCTGAAGGTATATCAGCATTAGTGCACAATACCAATACTACCATTAATGTGACAGAAAATGCAGAATATTCAGCACCAATATATGGAATAGCATGGTATCAAATGCTGGTATGGAATAATGGAATAATGATGGAATTAATGATGTGGAATTCTAAAAAAACAGAATTTGTATTGATATTTGCTAATTGCTAACAAGTTTACAACACAACCAGATTGAGTTCTTTTCTATCAAAACCACCTATTTTACATTTTAATAAATATATGTATATGAATATTTCTACAGGTAATCAGTGGTAGAGAGGGCAGAGACCTATGCAATTTAGCACTCTAGACATGTCACATGCATATTGTTCCTTTATCATTCTTTTGCCATGCTTCTTCCATTGGTATAATACAGAACTTAGCACAATTAACAGCAAAAAACAAGATGAGTGACTCCTTAAAGGCAGCCTGCCTTGTCAGCATGCCCTAAAACACTAATTACCATCAAGGCCATCCTGCAACAATCAGTCCACATGGCCAGATATTTACACTATATAAGTGCACTAAACCTTGCACTCATATGTACCCAACTCTGGCCAAGCCACCCTGGATTCCCACACCATCTCTAAATGGCAAATATTTTTGGACTATTTCTTTCCTGATGCTAGCTTAGCAGATTACTATTACTTGAAACACAATCACACCATGTGCTGAGATTGGTGTCAACCAATTTGGAGTGATGAGATTGGTGAGATCAAAGAACTCTAAACCTTCACGTTTACAATGTAAATACACTGAGATTGTTGCCGCAGTGCCACTGCTACACTCAACACATCTTGCATGATGCATATGATTAGCATTTTACCTGAGGTATCACAGCTGGTGCAATGTCTCATCATTAAAAATGACAAAATTATACATGTTTAACTGTTCACAAAAACTCTTTAATAGGACGCTGGACTGGCCAGGTGAGGTGTTGCCTGCTGCCTATTGGGGCCCAATTTCAAAAAGAAATGAGCAATATTACTTGCAAAGCATACTACACACTGTTTGTGTAATTTGCATAATACTGACCTAAGGGAGGCTTAAGTCACATTTACAACAAAATCCAAAGGCCTCCATAACTACGTCAGTAGATGCCTAACTTACGCATGGATTTTAGTTTTTCAGTTTGGGAAGTATATCACTGATTCTGACTATCGTCGCTCTTGTCAATGTCCTTGTACCCCATGGAACTATACTTCGTGCAAAAGGCTTCTGAAACATGGCATACCATCTCTGATCAACTGGAGAGTTTATGCACACCTCATACACGGATGCTATGACGATCCCTACCTCGAACCTTTGCTCCCACCCACTCTCAGCTCGCATACGTTCTGCAGACCCAGGTCCGCACACCATGCAAGGAAAGCCAAACAAACATAAGTGCGGCAGAATTGTAGACAGACCATTTGGTGCTCGACCATCAAATACGATGAAATAGGATGTCAGTCAAATACACGGCTAGAAATTGCAATACACTTTCACAGCTACTGAAACAGCTAAAAAGAGGGTTAGTTTAATTAAAAAATTTTCATTTGACGTACTCTAAACACAAAATAATTCATTTCTGCACGCCAGTAGCGCAGTTTAGCTATCGAGCAGTGGTGTAATTATGTTGGAGCCTCGTTATCGCGCCTGATTTCGCGCTGGATGCTCAGTAAAGCGATTACAAGGAAACATCTTTGGTCAGGTGGCCAGCAGAGGGTAAGTTCCGTTTCTTAGCCCGTTTCATAAAAAATCATGGGTATATCTGGTGAGTGTATGCCAAAATCCAGGGAACTCAAAGCACTGCAATAAAACCACTTTAATGCTTTTTGGCGTTTCGGCGTTTGGCGTTTGGCGGGTGAACACCAATGCATAGCAGGAATGCTTGCCTTGCTACTTACTTGCACCGCCCTTGTGGTTGGAACGTTTCATGATGGTAATTATTGATGTGTATCTGCGCGTGTGCGTACGTTTGCATATATGCACGTGTACATATATGCAAACGATGAACGATCTACCAGAGCAAGTGCGAAGCGTGGTCAAGATGTTTGCGGATGACACCAAGGTCTACTGTCGTGTCCCGAGACCCCTGACTCACTCACCTCTGCAGGCTGACCTCGACGCCCTGGCCAAGTGGTCAAAGGAGTGGCTGCTCCCCTTTAGTGCAGCAAAGTGCAAAATAATGCACATCGGGAACTGCAACCCGAGGCTGACGTACTTCTTGGACGGTGCCGAAATCGCGGTCGAGTCCACCGAAAAGGACCTCGGGATCTTCGTGGATTACCGGCTCCAGTTCCACGTGCAGACCGCGGAAGCGATCTCCAAGGCCAACCAGATGCTGGCGGTCGTGAGGCGGTCTTTTGCCAATATCGATGCTCGCACCTTGCCATTGCTTTTTAAGCTCTTAGTACGTCCGTACTTAGAGTATGGCAACGTTATCTGGGGCCCGTTCGGCAAACTGGACCAAAAACGGCTGGAACGAGTTCAGCGACGAGCTACCCGGCTTGTCTATGAAGTGAGGCGCCAGCCATACCCTGAGAGGCTCAGACTCCTTCAGCTGCCCTCACTGTACTATCGTCGTCGCAGGGGAGACATGGTAACAGTGTACCAGCTATTTCATGGAGGCATGTCGCTATCGGAAGAGGAGTTCCTGACAAGGCACAACTCGGAGGTGACGAGAGGACACCAATGGAAGCTCAGAAAACCTCGAGCTAGGACTCTCGTCCGTCGCAACTCGTTCAGCACGCGGGTTGTCAACGACTGGAACGCTCTTCCGCACCCGGTCGTGTCGTCGACCTCAGTTGAACAGTTCAAGGCTAGGCTTGATACGCACTGGGCTGACATCATGTACGACGTCCCACGCTGAATATTCCCATAATTTGAGACTGCTTGGTTACCGGACCGGGAGCCTGACGAGACCGGGACCTACAGGCCTAGTGGCCTTTTACAATTCCCGATCACCATAAGGTAAGGTAAGGCACATGAGTGTGCGTCCGTGTGCATTTTGGTATGCGCTTGTGAGTGTATGGCCGTGTCTAAATAAAGGACCGTTTCTGACCCGACCGTTATATTGCATTTTTGAAGATAGGTAGTGACCCATCCAGGCCATGTTACGTCACGTCTTTATTGCAGAATAATGTTCTCAGCCCCCTCTGCTGCTTGTTTGATAGTGCCTTGCTGATGGTTGTCTCTTCTCAGATGTGCTCCAACATTGTGTGCTGAATAAATGAAAAGCTGATCAGAGTGTTCGCTGATCTATGTTGGCGTCCATAACTTGCAAGGCTCCCGAGAGAGATGGAAGCCGTCAAGAGCGCGATCGATGGGTGTCGATACGTCGACGACCTTGACTGCGTTCCTCACCAGTCACAACAGCAGTCATCGGGCGCCCCCAAGCCAGGCACTCGCAAGCTCCAGAGACCTGTCATCCCTGCAGGAAGCAGCTGCACTGACTGGAGGTATTTCATCACCCGATGTGAGCAATACCGCGGCGCTGCTGGACTGGCGTGCACCGACGTCTCCATTTATCTTCGGCAATACTGTAAGGCCGCACTGCGCAGACCTCACACGAGCTGCTGGCGGGAGCCTGGCCTCACAGCCCGAGGGGACGCACTCGCTGCTTTCAAACAGCTGACTGTGAGGGAGGAGAACGCAACGGTCGCCCGAGTCTCCCTGTCAAACATGCGACAGGACCGCGGCGAGCCGGTTCGTGGGCTCGGCGCCCATCTGAGAGGACAGGCAGGCGTCTGTCGGTTCTCAGTCCAGCGCTCCAGCTGCCGTCCGGACGTTGACTGCACCGGCGATGTATTCCGAGATACCCTCACTCGTGGCATCGCCGATCACGACATGCGATGGGACATCCTGGGCGCAGAAAATCAGTGGAGGCCCCTGGAAGACGTGTTCCACCTCGCCGAGGCGGAGTAATCAGGCAAACATTCCGCCTTTCAGCTACACGACTGCCAAGCCACCACTCTGGCGTCCGTTAGCAGTTGCCGCAGACAGAAGAAGGAAAGACGAAGGTCCAACTGTCACCAAAACCTCCAGGACCTCAGGACCAGCTGTCAGAACCCTGTGGATACTGCGGCAACCTCGGCTACGGTTAACACGCCCCCTTCCCCCCCCCCCCCCCGTCCTGAGGCCACGGCAGCGAGAGTGTCCAGCGTACGGACAGACATGCCGTCACTGTGGCGAGGACCACTACACCGAGTGCGTATGCCGGGTCAAAAGGCGGGACTCACGGCCGCCCCGCCTCCGCCTCACCCCAATCAGTCCAACGGACTGGAAAACGACACTGGCGCCATCTTCAACGCCACCTGTTCGACTACCTATAAGTCATTTGAAGGGCTGAACTTGATCGTTATCGGGCATCACGTGTACGGCGACATGGCCGAAAAGTGTATATCTCGCCGTTCCATGCCTCAACCCACCGCAGAACTGGCAGCCGAGACGGCGAGTGAGGACTACCAGGCGCTGGCTGTCGACCCCACACCGCGCAACAGTAAGTCTCGCATACTCGCAGTGGCCGACACTGGCTGCCAAAGCTGCGTGACTGGCCCCAGCGCCCTCTAGGACATCGGCATCACCCACAAAGGCCTGATCCACGTCAAACTGCTAACCGCGGTAAACAACAAGACAGTCCTGCTCTTGGGAGCCGTCCTTCTGAGGCTGTCCGACACGAGCCAACAGAGTCGCCCCATTGCACCAGGCAAGAGGTCACAAACGAATCAGACAAGTTCTTCCTCAGCAGAGAGGCGTGCTCCGCCCTCGCCATCATCTCCCAGGACTTCCAGTCTTGAGGCGAGAAGCACCGCGGTTCATCCACACTCGCGACATCTCGCGACGCCACAGCACCGGACATCCTCGCCACGAGCGAAACATCGAACGCGCCGTGCGGCTGCCCTTGCCTTGAGCTCCCTCGGCCCCCTCCGCAGACCCCACCCATGGCTTCCTCCGACGCCAACCGTGTAAAACTGGAGCAGTACCTCAAAGATACCCACACAGCGAGTATTTTCAACGTATATCCCCACCAGCCCTTAGCCACCATACCAGCCCCTCTGTTGGCACTGATGGTAGACCCTGACTCGACTCCCGTCGCGCACCACACACCTCCCGGTGCTCCGGTACTGGCAGGCAGAGGAAAGGTCGGATTCGACCGCGACGTCTAGCTAGGGGCACTCGAGCCTGTCCCAATCGGTGGGCCTGCCACCTGGTGTCACTGCGTGGTAGTTACTGCCAAGATAGATGGCACACCCCGAAGTACCGTGGATCTCCAAGACCTGAACCAACATGCCACTCGGGAGGCCCACCACACCCAATCACCATTCCACCTAGCCAGGTCAGTACCCGTTAGCATGAAGAAAACAGTCCTAGGCTGTCGGTTACCAAAGTGCACTCCTGCGACGCGAAGACCGCCAGCCCACCACCTTTATAACACCGTGGGGCCGTTTACAACATCGGTATTGGGCCGCCCGCAAGGCTGCACTGCATCTGGAAATGGATACACACAGATATATGACGAGATTGTCGCCAACCTGCCCAGGAAGACCAACTGCATCGGCGATGTCCTTCTCCGGTCAGGCTCCATAGAAGAGTGTTTCAGGCAGACCGTCAAGTGGTTAGACGTATGTGGTCGTAACCGGATCACCCTAAACCCCACCAAACTCGCCCTCGCTCAAGACGGTATGGAGTCTGCGGGGTTCAACGTCACCCTGGAGAGCGTACGACCATGTGACCGCTTCACTCAGGCCATCTGGGACTTCCCGTCGCCGAGGGACATCACCGACATCCGCTCCTAGTAAACCTGGTATCCTACACCTTCAGGGTGGCAGAGAAAATGCGGCCTTCCGCGAGCTCCTGAAATCTAAGACCTCATTCTACTGGGAGCCCCAGCTCGACACCCTCTTCGAAGACTCCCAGAAGACTCCTTGTCAGTCACCATCAGCGAGATTGAGGAGGGTGTGAGAATCTTCGACTCACCTCGGACGACATTCCTCGCAACAGACTGGTCGAAGACGGGCGTGGACTTCTGACCCCTCCAAAAGCAATGTGTGTGCACTCAGCCTGTTCCATTCTGCTGCCATGACGGTTGGAAAACCGCTCTTGTGAGCAGCAGGTTTACCCACCCTACCCGATCCCGGTACGCGTCATTCAAGAACAACGCTGTGGCGATGGCTGTCGCCCTGGACAAGGCGCTGTGTTCCGTCCTAGGCTACAGTAACCTGATTATCGCTGCCGATCATATGCCGCTGATAAAAATATTCGGTGACCGGCCCCTGGAGGACACACCAAGCAAGCGACTCCACAGCCTTCGGGAGAAAAACCTGCGCCACCGCTTCAACATCA